AGCGCTGCGTTTTACCCAAAGCTAAACAGTTTATCAACTCTCAGCCACAAAAAAAAAAGAAAAAAAAAAGCACAGAGCAAACAAACTTGTACAATATTATGATGGCAGTGCATCAAAATTCAGTGTCATCAGTTTGCCAAAAAGAACACAGAACGTTTTACGCACCATTTACACATGGCAGGGAGCAGGTGTAAATTTCTTTGGTACCAACTAACATTTTGAATATACGAACACTTTCATGAATCCGAAAATTTACGTCAGAACAACTTTACGAACGATTTACACAAACATTTATTCTGCTCATGTTTCATGAATGAGGCCCATTGTCACTGCTATCAAAAGATAAATAAAACTATAGAAATAAATTATAGAAATGTAAAACTAATGCACTTTCACTTGTAGGCTCTGACGTTTGCACCCCCACTCTATGTGTGTTTATATGTAATGTGTTTGTGCCGTGGATAGTGCTTATGTGTGCATGTGGAAAGTTCATATGTGCATTTTCATACATGACTTTGCATATGCAAAATTGCACAAGTGTGCCAACTTATCAATTTGTCTGCACAACCAAGACCCAGATGGTATGCACAGCAGGGAACATATGGCATTATAGAGGGGACTGCTAAAATACATAGCATATGCACATACACTCACAAAGGGGGATCAGTTGGTCAACTGGGTCACAGGTGCATTTGGCAATTTTGATGTTATGGATCTAAATCTTTACACATCGTATCAGTGAGTGAGCTTACAAAAATCATTGAAACTAATGTGAAATTGGACTGGATAAGTTTCTTTATGGATGGATCCTGAATATGCATAACAGAATGCATTTTGCATGGACAAGCATACCCGCTGTCATATAAGATATAAAATGAATTGAAATGTTTATCACATTGATACTGTTATTTATTTATATTATTTTTTTGTAAGCATGCTGTGACAATTTGTCAATATACAACGAGCATGAATGAGGGAGAAAATTCATTCTCTTTGAAAATATGTATAGGCAACAACAGAGATGAAGATTTTTGTATGTATGCATGTTTGTATCTATGTAAATGTCATGAGTGTCCATTTTTTGTGCTTGGACATCTGTGTGTCTTTCCTCACCAAGTTGGCAACCCACATTCCAGTACGTCTGTGGGTTAAAGTTACTGGAGTCAATCCGGTAGGCAGAGGGATAGATCCGAGAGAGCTGTCGTTGGTTGAAAGTCAAGAAGCGCTCAGATCGATGGTGCACCAGGTGCTGAGCTCGTGTCTCACTAAACGACAGAACATTATAGGGTGATCCTGAGAGAGATGGTGCAAGAAAGCTTGGGTTAGATGCATGTTCTTGAAACAGCCTTTGCTGTAAAGTGGATTCACAACATATCTTTGTAGCAAAAGCTTTTTTTCCAAAAAAAAAACATCTATATGCCAAAAACCTTGACAGCAGGGATCAGTACTCTATAGAAGCCCGTTTCTGCCACTGAATAAAAAATAAAAAAGGTAATTGCAACTTTTTATCTAACAATTCTGACTTTTTTTCTCACATTTGCGAGTTTACATTGTGAGATATAAACTTGCAATTGCGAGTTTTAAAGTCAGAATTGCGAGATATAACCTTGCAATTCTGAGAAATTTCTCAGAATTGCGAGGTTATATCTCGCAACTCTGACTTTATAACTCGCAATTGCAAGTTTATATCTCACGATGTAAACTCGTGATTCTGAGAACATATCTGTCTTTTTTTCCCCTCAGAACTGGACTTTATAACTCGCAATTGCGTGTTTATATTTCACAATTCTGAGAAAAAGTCAGAATCACAAGAAAAAAGTCAGAATTACGATATATAAACTTGCATTTGCGAGAAAGGTCTGAGTTTTTATCCCGTAATTCTGATTTTTTCTCGCAATTGCGAGTTTATATCCTGTAATTCTGACTTTTTTTCTCATAATTGTGAGATATAAACTCGCAATTGTGAGTTATAAAGTCAGAATTGCGAGATGAAAGTTACAAAAGACTATTCTGACTTTATAACTTGCAATTGCAAGTTTATTTCTCACAATTATGAGAAAAAAAGTCAGAATAGTGAGATAAAAGTCGCAATTACTTTTTTTTTTTAATTCAGTGGCGGAAATGGGCTTCCATAGTAATCAGATATGGTAAAATAGAAAACATTTCTCACCCTCATCTAAACACTCCTGAGAGGCCACAGAGTTAGTGAGGACCACCAGAACTGATAGATCTCTACTCAGCTTTATCGTTTTTCTTCTCCTTCCACCTCTACAGACAGACACAGCAAAATATAGGCAGTTTGTGAAACGTCTCACTATTAGATGTAATGACATGCTCCAGGTCAGGTACACAGTACAAAGATAAGAAGGAATGGTGACTAAAGAAGTAGCTTATTTCTCAGGAAATTACATCAATGTCCAGCACAACAGAGACATACAACCTTAATGGAAACACAAACATAAATGGACTACAAGCAAAAATCATTTTCTTAATCAGTATAGAACTAAAAATGTATTACACTTTACATAAAAATATTAAGCAGTACAGTGATTTTCAACATTGATAATGGTAAGAATTTTTTTTCAGCACCAAATCAGCATATTGCAATGATTTCTGAATCATATGACACTGAAAACTGCAGTAATGACCGCTGACTATTAGGGCTGTGCAATATATCGAAATTATCGAAATATCGCAAATGTACATATCGCAATAGGCATATCGCTACAGCTTGCAATATTTGGGGCCATGAACAAAAGACAAAGAGAAAATCACTCACTGCTCTTACCTAAATAACTTTTGTAGCTTAAATAAGAAACCATATTGAATTCATAGAGTAAATACTAAGCAGTGTTGTATTTTTCCTTTTTATTATTCAGTTCCTAAACTCATGTTAAAATTATTACACTAATGTTAAAATGACATTTTTATGTAATGCTAGAGTAAAACACTACCGTTCACTTTCAGAAGTTGTTGTAGGGGTGCTTTCTTCTCACAAAAAGTGAAACATGTATGCTAGTTATATTAGAAAACAGAATCAGAATGAGCTTTATTCGCCACTTAAGTGTGCGCAAACACAAGGAATTTGTTGTGGTTTTACAGGAACTATTGGTACATACATACATACAAATAACCCTGGTAATCAAACAGTTGGTGGTTGCCATTGACTTCCATAGTAGGAAAAAAAATACTATGGAAGTCGATGGCAACCACCAAGATTACCAGCAATCTTCAAAATATCTTCTTTTGTGTTGAGGAGGAAAAGGAAATGCATAGAGGTTTAGAACAATTTGAGGGTAAGTATGATGACAGTATCTTCATTTTTGGGTGAATATCCTTTTTACCAGAATGAATTCTGCCCCGCAGCGTAATGTCCATGAACAGTAGAAACCATTTGTTTTAAAACCTGCTTAAAACGCCATGAAATGATAAGCTTAGACTACATCATGACGCGCTTCAATCAACGATTGATTTATTTCTACCGGATGATCTCTCAACCCTTAAATAAATATAGTTTGTTCAAACACAAAAACAATATAAATCCACTAAATAACAGCGCTAATAAATGGGGGGCGTGGTGGCTTTGGCGATCGTCGCTCCAGTCAATCTACTCCACAGCCAATCACGGGCCCCCTCCTTGCTCGGGCCCCGGGGCTTCAGCCCCGCCTAGCCCAATGGTTAAAACGGCCCTGTATATGACACAAGATAGTTATTGAAGTTCACAGAACTGACTCAGCAACAGCTGAGTAAAACTGTTTCATCTGAGCATGTGGCACTTTTAAGCATTATTGTATCGCATATCGAATATCGCATTATTTTGAGTTATCGCATATCGCATTTTTCTTCAATATCGCACAGCCCTACTGACTATTCAGCATTGCAATCACAGGAATAAATTACATGTTAAAATATAAAATATGTAATATTTATATGATATTTATATTTATAATATTTCACAATATTTGCTGCATTTTGATCAAATAAATGCAGCTTTGGTGAGCATAACAGGCTTTTTTTTTTAAATATAAAAAAATCTTACCAACCCCAAACTGCTCTCTAACATGTGATTTACTATAAATGAACGAAAATGTCCTCATAACTGATTATTCAATGCATCTTCAAACACTTCACATGCAGTTTGAAATGGTTGAAATGCAGATATAAGCTCAAATGCTAACAGCACCCTGTTTAATCAATCATTGCATCCTTCCTGCACATATCTAGTCTAGGAAATCAGAGTGAAATTAAAGATAAGAAAAGCCCCTTTCAGAGTGATGGTTTCATTACAAATGACTTTTCTCATGGTGTTAATGTAGCTCATTAAGCATACAAACGATGGCAAATTCTCATTAACATAAGACACTAACAATCTCTTCATTATGCCACATTATGGGGTGAATTTACGAAACAGTTGTACCACATGCTTGTAATTATTTCAGTGCATTTCAATGTAAACCTTTTCAGCACAAACACGCCTGCTATATAAACTAGGCTCATTATAGATCATAGCGACTTAAATATTCACAAAACTCAGGTCTATTTGCAAATTAACACGGGTGGTAAATTGAATTTTATGTGATTTTATGAGAAGTTTTTACACCTTTCCTAGCAATCATGGAAGCATTCATTCATTAAATGATGATGAAATGTATGGAGCTTATAATATGACAAAACTATTTGAATTTGTATTGTATAAATTTGAATTATTGACAAGTGGCATTTATCAAAACTGAATATTATGTGGCATTTAACATAGTTCTGAATTTGATTTTTTTTATTTTTTACTTGAATATTGAACATTTGAAATTTAACATAACTGATTTTTTTAAAGCAGTGTTTTAGACATGTATTTTCAAGCAGCACATTTTTTGTTCTGAATTCTTTGACTTCAAATATCCAGTTTTTAAAAATACAGCTTCAAGTTTTCAAGATGAAGAGGAAATTCAGAACATCAAATTCAATATTCTAAAATTCAATACGCAGAAATTCAGATCGTACAAAAAGTAGGTGAGAGGTAATCCACAGGGAAGAGCAGATGATCTCCGAAAAGTCAAACGAAGCATTTTGGCCAATTAGTAGTTTT